GTAAAATAACTTCACTATCTTGGGGTAGATACAGTAGTTACCGGTCATTGTATCTGTTTGTTCAAAAATATGCTGCAAAAATACAGAATTGTTTAGCTATCAGTTTCTTTGTCTTGTTTCCACATCAACCATTCATTCTATTTTTTAAGGAATTCCTCCTCTCTTATATCCTACCTGTCTGTCAGGCTTTTTGATTACCTACTAATATAACTACCTGTATCTATCTATCTATTTATCTATCTATCTATGTCTATCTATTTATGTATTTATTTATCTATCTATCTATCTATCTATCTATCTATCTATCTATCTATCTATCTATCTATCTATCTATCTATCTATATATATCTATCTATCTATATATACCTTCAGCAATGCGAGCAACAGCAACAGCATCGAAGTACATCTGTACCACGTGACTTCGGAAGTACCATAGGACCCTCCATTAGGAGCCTTTAACCATCCATACCGTCTTTTGGATCGAACTGAGATCCTTTTCAAGTAGAGGAAGAACTTGCTCTTTTCAGGCTCCAAAATCAATACAGTACAGGAAGGCTTCGTAATAATGAGGAAAGCACCACGAAGAAAACTTGGAATATAGGTATATTTTTACTGTTATATCTCACAGGCTATAATACGGGCACATTGCGGGGAATTTTTAACAATATTCACCAGTGTTTTATTGCCGCGTGTTGAATGCAGCGAGTTCGGTGTGTAAAATACCTCAATTATATACACTAGTGGGAAACAGAGAACCTATTACCGGTTGCTAATAATCAGTCATAATTTTTCCTTAACTCTAATAAAATGCTCATGAGTTACAGGTGTCTATCACGGAGTATTGTCAGAGTAGGGAGTTGTAAAGATGACCAGGAATCACGAAAATTGATCTCATCTGCTTGGGCTAAATAGAGTAATTAAAAGGTTTGTAGAGGTAGGGGTAAAAGAAGGATGGGGGCGTATAGAAGAGGGAGAGGTGTTAAGAGAGGTAGTACTGCGGAAAGGTGGACCATAGGGCTACAGAGTAGTAATAAGTGAGGAGGGGGTAGTAGATCAAGAAAGCTGTGGGGGTGGAGGAGAAGAGGTAGAGGATATTAGGTGAGAAGGAAGGTTAGTAGGCACTGAGGAATGGGTAGTATATAGTGGTATCGTTCAGAGTCGTGGTCAAAGGAGAGTCTAGGGGCGGGGAGAATTTAATCTGTGGGACCACTTGATACAAGGGGTAAGCCTGGAGTATGCTGGGGAGAGAAATCCCACAGGGTGAAGGCTAGACAATTAAACACACACCTTGGGAAAGGAATGGTAGAAAAGATTGGAGAAGAGAAAAAAACGGAAAGGGAAAGAAGAAAAGAATGTTCAAAATTAGTTGAATCAAGGGCCGAGGCACAAGACAGGAGTGATCCCCAGCGTGGAGTCTCCGTGTTCTAAGCTTTCCCCATGGCAACAACGGGCATGAGATTGGGGCGGAGAGAATAATGCTAATATTAATGGTAATAATAATAATAATAACGATAACAATAAGGATGATGATAATACTGATACTGATAGTGATAATAATAATAATCAATATTATCATCATTATCATTTTCATCACCATCATCATCTTCACCATTATTATTATCATTATTATCATTACCCTTATCATTATCGTTATTGTTACTTCAGCTATTTATCACTATTATTATCATCATAATTTCACGTTTAGTTGTGCAAAGAGCAAGCCATCAAAAATAAACAAATTCATAAACACTTACGACAAAAGTGAGCAAGATATAAAAAACATTATGATAAATAAAAAGGAAAAATATAAAATTAATCCAGGACTCCGTGAAAGGATTGAATGCTGTGTAGGTGTAAATACCGATTTAAAGCAGGCCTGTTCAGCGTCTGCCCGTTGTCTAAGCCAGGATTCTTCCCACTTATTGCATCACGACCCAGTACCCAGTTCATATATATATACATGTGTATATATATATGATGTGTGTGTGTGTGTGTATGTGTGTGTGTTTGTGTGTAAACTGGTGCACACACACACACACATATATGTATATATATACATATAGATACATATATGTGTATATATGTGTCTATATGTATAAATATATGTTATGCATAATTTCGGATGTATATATGTATATATATATGTATATATACATACATACATATATATATATATATATATATATATATATATATATATATATATATATATATATAAATTCGTATATTTATATATACGTAAACGTATATATGTATATAATATATATACATATACATATATATATATATATATATATATATATATATATATATATATATATATATATATGTTATATATATATATGTTATATATATATATATATATATATATATATATATATATATATATATATATATATATACATACACACATACATAAACACACACACACACACACACACACATATATATATATGTGTTGAATAACACCAATATTCTTTCGCATTACCTTTCTGCCTCATCATCTTTGACAATAGTCCATGAACATGTGTTATCATCTTTTAGTTTATCAGAGACGATGCTCACACCGTCGGTAATGAAGAATGATGTTGTCCTACCTCGCCTCCAAGGCCATGTCTTCATCCGTCTTCCAGCCCTTCTGTCTATTCTTCCCCAAAAGCTTATTTCGTACATTTTTTTTCCCTGTGAAGTGACATCGAGGCAAGGCTCTTCCTCTGCAGCTTCTGTTCCTTCCTGAAGTTCAGTTCCGGACGCGATGCAAAGACTTATACCGTGTACGTACCTATCTTAATGTAGATTTTTGCCCTCGGCCGATCGAGTGCGCATTTCCTGATTTAATGTTCTGGCAAAGCATAGCATAGTCCAGTGCGTCGACAGCACTAATTTCTAACCCTTCTCACTCGTCGATTCTCCCAAAGTACATATAAGTCTTATATATACTTTGGGCTCTCCCGCGTCACAGGTAGCGATGGGCAGGCGGTCGAACTCCCGCCAATCAGCCATCCAAATGTCCCACTATCTCCCAAGCAACCCACTTCATTCCAATCCCAGTGCATACAGTTGAATAGTTGTTGAATAACCATAAGTTGTTGCATAAGTTTTTCAATTTGATGGTTTTACTTTTTAATGAATCTTTACAAAAATGTCAGATTTTATGGCGCTAACTTGGCAACAACTGTGATACATGAAAACAGTAAGCTCGTGAAGGAAGTTAGGATCGTAATTAATTTCGTGAGTACACGAGGAAACCTACAAACTGTTTCGCAGTCGGAATTAGTGTTTTAATTGATATATATATATATATATATATATATATATATATATATATGTGTGTGTGTGTGTGTGTGTGTGTGTGTGTGTGTGTGTGTGTGTGTGTGTGTGACAAATCCCTGTGTGCAAGACCGCGCTTTGCACTACTGTTCAACAGGTTACGATAATGTGTATATTTAGTTTTATAAAAAGTTAGCCCCCCCCCCCCACATCTCTCTCTCTCTCTCTCACTCTCACTCACTGACTTACAGGTTTAGTTAAGGTCAGAATGAGAACATTCCCCTTTCGCTATTATTAATATTGACATTACAAATACTTTCACTTCAAATTGTAACAACTACCCAAATGTTTACACTGGGGTTGGGGGGGATGGTGAAGCGGTAGGGTGGGTCACGAGCCAGTACTAGCCGAGATGCCTGAGAAGGGGTAGAAGGTAGAACTGCCGACTGTACAAGCACTGACTAAAGTATGCCATAAATGAATCTTCGAAACCGTCTTATCCTTCACAACACGACCGTATTATTCGGGTGGTCGAAACGGTATTCGAAACGGATTTTACAAAAGTTTCTGTGAATGAAGCATCGAAGCACTCCCGCCCTAAACCAGAAGGGTCACATGTTTTAACGTTTCAGGACAGGGAACTAGTAACAAGATATCTTTTCTTCGCAAAACTGAAGAAGGGTAGAAAGTAGACCTGCTGACTGTACAAGCACTGACTAAAGTATACCATGTATGAATCTCCAAAACCGTCTTATCCTTCACAACAAGACCGTATTATTCGGATGGTCGAAACGGGTTTTTTCAAAAGTTCCTGTGAATGAAGCTTCGAAGCACTCCCACCCTAAACATGTTTTGGCGTTTCATTACAGGGAACTAGTAACAAGATATCTTTTCTTTACAAAACTGAAGTTCTTATTCGCGAGATATCAATTTTGATATGGTAAGAAAAAGAAAAACGGAAAGGAAAATATTGTTCATCTGAATCACAATAGGAATTATGCATTTATATTCACATCAACGATTTGCCAATTTTACCTGGATTTTTCTTTTTCCCATCATAATTTACTCTTCATTGTCAAAAACAAGATTGTCTCCCTTTACAAATGTAATTTTCTTGGCTTATGTACAATAAGTAAATTGCTATCTATATTTGTCTCATGTGGAGGATAATGAAACGAGAAAATACTTGAATTGTTTAATCCATGGTTGTTCAGAAACATATGTATTTCCTTGTACTTGAAAAATAATTTTCTTTATCTGAAATCTAGATTTGCTGTTTCTTCACTGTCATTGTCATTATCGACCTGTTCCATTAAATTGAAATGCTGGTATACTTCCAAATATGTGTGATAAAATTGATTCTCTCTATATATATACACATATCACATATGTGTGTGTGTGTGTAAATAAATAAATTGACAAATAAATGAACAAAAAAAAATACACATGAATACATATATATGTATATGTATATCTATCTATCTATATGTATATATATACACATACATACATACATACACACACACACACACACATATATATATATATATATATATATATATATATATATATATATATATACATATATATATATATATATATATATATATATATATATATATATATATATATATATATATATATATATATATATATACATACAGAC